CCAGGACAAGGCATATACTCACACCCCAACCTGATGGTATATCTGGTTGGAGTACCACTCCTTTCCTTAAAAAAACAGGTGGAAGGCAGGAGAGAGAGCTCTTTCTGTCCCACACCTCACTTAGAGGAACTATTCCCGATTGCAACCTTCCCACCACAGACTGGTCTCAGACAGACTTTCTCCCACACTCTTTCCCAATTGCAGGTACTATTTCTGGGAAATTCTTTGGCCTACTCACGTTTGTTATTTCTCAGAATGAGGCAGCCCACACTCAGGCATGAATGTGCATTTATTGCCTCCCTATCAAATAAACTCTGTTCCTATTTGCACAAGATGCCAGTCTCTGCTTGTATTTCTACCTCTGTGGGAGGCAAAGAACCTCGATTTAAAAATTGATATGGTCATTGCCCACATCACTTAGACATAGTGCACCAAAGATAATTCTGAAAGTGTTGTCTCCTTTAGGTAGAGTAGAGCTCTAGGCAGGCAAACCTGTTTCTTCAAAAGTTGTTCATTTCCTTTGTGATACCAACCATAATGACCCCGGGGACCAAAGAAAAAAAAATAGACTAGCAAGGAAAGGCAGCATCTCTATGTTCCTGTGATTAGGAAATGGCAATCACTTAGGAAAATGACCAAAAGAGGGACACATTTTCAAAAGCTATTCCCAGAGGAGGCTAGATCAACAGCCATCCTGCCATCTGCACAGCCCACCCATGGCACTTTACTTGGAGATACAAATCACTCTTCTTTTCTTTCCATTTACAGCTGAGAAGCCCATGTTAGGCTCTAAATTTCACAAAAAAATCACAAGCTGCACATCACTACATAGTCCTACATGTTACTTACATAGACCGGATCTTACAATAGGAAACTGTTAGCTAGGAAGCTGAAAAAAACTAAGAGTAAAGGCATACACCCTCCAAACTCTGTAAGTTCAAAGGGAAAGACATTCAAAAGGCCCTCAGTACCAGAAAGGAAGTATTTCTTCCCTTAAACTGGAAGAGGACTTAAAAAGGAATGTGATCCCTGGTCTGATGAGTTCAACAAGCAATTCACCATACAGAAATAGGAGACAGGAATATTTGTGAGTACTCACTGATACTAGCACTATTTTATTTTTAGTTTTGTATATATTTTCATTTTATTTGAAAGGCAGACGGACACAGAGAAACAGACAGACAGGACAAAGTGTGTGCATGCTTCTCTGTGATGGGTCACTTTCCAAATGGCCACAAACAGGAAGGGTTGGACTAAGTCAAAAAGCAGGAGGCTGTAACTCCATCCAGATCTCCCAAGGAAGTACTTGAGCCATCAACTGCTATCTCCCAGCATATACATTAGCAGGAAGCTAGATTAGAAGAGGAGCAGCCAGGACTTGAACCAAGCACTCTTGATAGGGGATGTGAGCTTCCCAAGTGGCAACTTAAACCACTATACCAAACATCATTCCTAATAGTTTTTTTCCAAAATGATTGTTGTGACCTTCAGATTAGCTTGTTCTGAGTTTTGCTTCTTTTAAGAATTTTTGGCTGGATTTTTTTTTTTTTCCTGCTCATGTTCTCTGGCCAGATGCAAAAGGCATCTGGTTAGGTAGGAGTAGGGCAGCCTGCAGCTCTGGATGGAAGACTGGCTCACCTGGGAATGTCATGCATAAATGCTGGTTCCACAAAGGAGCATGGAAACATTATCTGCAAAGAGTCTTAACTTTCTGTAAATAACTCCCATCACAAAAAGCAAAGGGAGGGGCTGACAGATGAGGGCATGCAAGAGGCAGAGAGGGATCGTGAGGAAATCTGTGAGTGGGTGATCAAGAATGCTTTAGTCACTGCCCAGGAGCTGCTGCTGGAGAGAGAATCAAACAGACTGTGTAAGTGAGCAACCAGCACCTCAGTTCTGGCAGTCTGCCAAGTAGCTTTTGCTTACCTCTGATCTTGGTTTAAACCCATGGGGGGCATAGCACAACCAAAGTGTCCCTCTCATGGCAGTCATCTCTATACAAGGGAGACTTTTTCTAACGAAAGAATGCATTTGGTGGGAAGAACTCTACAGAATTAGTACTGGGCAGGACTTTACGTAGCACTTGGGCACAAGGCTGGGACCCAAAAAGATGCAGTGACTGAAGTGAGGTCACACAGTGGGTAGCAGACACTAGACCAGGAGCAGGAGCTCACAAGAATCTCCTAAAATCAAATACACCTGTCTCTGCCCTTCCTAACATGTTTTTAAAAAGACAAAGTTCTCTATCTCTCGGGACTGTATCTTGACCACTTACCTTTGCCTACAATCAGAACACTTGGGTACCTGACTGAGTGTATTCCTGCACTGTATTAAGGTCATTCATCAATTCCAAGGAGGAGACAATGCCCAGGTATAGGGTTTGAAAAGGAATCTGCATGATTAATTGCACATTGGCTGATACATGTCACCAGGGGTATAAAACTTTAGTAATTTCCTCCATGTGCACAGTATGTTGTTTGAATTGTAACCATAAATATATAAAGACATAATATCACATACAAAAAGATGGCATATAAGGGATCACTGCAGAAATTCCGCATTTACACTGAAACATCAGGTATTCCAAGTTACAAGATGGATTTATTTCAGAGAATGAAGCACTCGAACTACTATTACACCTGATTTCAGCCAAACAAGTATGGTCATAAAATATTTTTAAATTAGTAACTGTAAGAATGATACAAGAAAACACATACCCTACTGAAAGTTTAAAAAAAAAAGACTTGCAGTAATAAGCAGCTACAAAGAGTGCTCTCCAAAGTGAGAAATCCAGTTCTCTGTAAGTATCCTAGCGAAATTTTCACCATACACACACACACACCAGATGGATTCCAGAAAACAGCTAAGCATTCCACAAGCCAAATGCTCAAAAATTAATAGTGCAAGATGATTAACATTCTCGTGCATGCGATATTGCCTATGTGGGCAGAAGACCCCTCTCTACTCTTGCCTCTCCTGTGACTCAACCTCTTCTTCCCAAATGTCTGCACGCCCTTCTAGCTCCCCCTACTCTGCAATCAAATCACAGCTACCCCAGAGGTGTCTGCTGCAACCCAAAACACTTGACTGATAATATCCGGTTTGCCATTCCAGGAAATCCCAGAGTGGTTTTTAAGCCTCTGCCCACAGCTTGTAAAGAAAGGCGAGAGAAAAACTAATCGATAGCAGCACCCCAGCTGTGACCTGGCATATAAAGAAATCAAGAAAAGAAACCCCATCTATAATCTGTATAATTTAACACCGGGAAAAAAAGCAACATCTGGGATCCACTCCAAGTGGGACGGTGTTGTCTGGATGGGTCTGCCTCTCCAGCACTGAGTGTTAAGGCGGCCGCGAGGCAGTGCCCTCGGCTCTTCCCCAGGTCAGCAAAGGCAACTTCTGTTTTCTAGCAAAGGTTAATAGACACCTCCGCCATCCCCAGCCCCCCAACCAGTAAAATAGATGAGTGAGGAGCAGGAAAACACCCACCATCAGCTTCAACTCCACGCCAGCGGAGCAACTGGCAAAGGCTCCCCTTACACTGAGTAGAAGCAAAAGCTGGAAACCTTTCCCGAAGGTGGGTCCAGTACAAACTATTGTCTTGCTGAGCAGTCCCAATCCAGAACAGAAGCTAGTGTAAAAATCGGGAATGACTGTTTATAATCAATAGTCATTTCTGTGGATTCCAAAGTCCCAGCTCTGGGCGAAGTTGGGGGGGGGGGGTGCGGGGAGGTGGAGAAAAAATCCCCTGTGATTACGACTGGAAAGGCTGTCCAGATTTGTTAAATTGCAGTAAAACGCATTTAGAACATAAGCAGATACCTTACACTTGATCTAAATCACCAGATCTGTCCCCAAGAAAAACAAGTGCGCCAGCCAGCAGGACAGGGCATTATAGGAAATAAAGATTGTTAGTGAGATCCCTAATGCTCTCTGTGTTTCTCTGGTAGACCTTCTGGGAGGTTATAATTGCATTTGGCCGCTGCAGGCTTGTCAGAGAGCCTGTCTTAATAGTCTCAACCCTAAAAGGAGTTAACTGTCAAAGGGCGACTGGGCTGAAAAGAAACGACAAAAACGGGAACTGTAATCCGCCTGCAAAGGGAGGAGGGAGGGAAAGGGAGATTCCTGTATTCATCAGTCAACATTAATGTCCTTTGTTGTTCACCTTTGCACAGCACAGCCAGCGCTACCCTGCTCCTCTTCCTCCCAGCGCCCGAGTCGGGCAGTCCCTCCCCCAGAGCGGCTCCCCGGCCCGAAGCCCCAGCTTTCCCATCCCCTCCTCATTATCACTCCACCGCCGTCCTCCACCCCCACCCCGGCAGCCAGGGCGCCCAGAAGTAACAGGCACCGCTGACAGACCCGCTCCCTCCTCCCACCCGACCCGGGAGCGCCGCGGCGCCCAGGGTGAAATTCACCAGCCCCGGCCCCAGCCCCGCAACGCGCACGGCCAGCAGACCCGGGATGGGAGCGAGCCACGAGGCTCCACCCGGGCTCCGGCAGACGGGGCGGCTCTCGGGGGAGCTGGGGCACATTCCGCACTCGGGCCCGGGATGTGGAAGCCAGTCGGCGGGGAGACACCTCGCGCCTCCGCGCCGCTCTGGGGGTGCTGTCGCCGCGCCACCGTTGCCGCCTCCCTCTCCACCCGGGGGGACTCGCTGCAGCCTACGGCCATCTCCCGGGGAGAAGGGGAAGGGAGGAGAGGGGTGCCTCTCGCCTCCTCTCCCAACTTGACACGCTCGCGCCCGTTGCCACTCCAAACTCCGAGACACAGCCCCGCGCTCCGGGAGCCGGTGCGGGGCGCGCCGAGCGGGCGGCGGGGGCGAGAGCCCGGCGCGCGCCCCCTCTCCCCGGGTCGGCTCGACAGTGCCCCGGACCCGCCTCCCGTGACCAGGATTCGGCATTTCCAGGCGGGCCGAATGAGAGGGGCGCGGGGCCGAGGACAAGAAATGCGCACCCGCTCTAGCCAGGGCGGAATAAAAGTTCGCCCCGCGGAGACTCACCCACGCCGTATTTCTCGTGCTCCGTAGGTATCCACATGGCTACCGGGGGCTCCGGGGTCTTCAGGCTTTGTAATCCCCGCGCCCCTTCTCCCGATCACAACAATGCACAGCTCCTGAGGAGCGGCTGCAGCGCCGGAGCCCCGCGGCTCCGAGCGGGCTGTGGACGCTGGGCAGGTTCTGCGCTGGAGGCTCCCGAAGCCGGCGTTGACACCGCGCCGCACAGGCTGCGCCGCCCGCCGCTCTCCCGGCAGCGGCTGCTCACAGTCCTCCAACGCGCTCCCGGGGACCCGGCGGCGCAGTCATTGTTCTGATTCACTGAACTAAGCGAACACGCCGGGGCACTCTCCGGCGAACCCCCGCCCGTCAGCGCCTCGTCCGGCCCTCCCTGCCCAGGGCCCTCGCGGCACGCTGGGAATTGTAGTTCCTGTCCCGGAAAGAGGCGTGGTGGCAGCGGCTAGGGGGCGGAGACCAGGCTTCCGATCGTCACGTCCTATTGGCCTAGGCGGGGAGGAAACAGCCTGTCGACGGGGAGTTCTCCTCCAGTCGCGTTTCTATTGGTGGCGGCCTAGGCCCGCCCCGCCCCGCGGCCCTCCCCTTTCCTTTCAGCCGGGCAATGGCTGCACCAAAGGCCTGGGGGGCTGCTGCCGGACTAGAGGAAGACTGTGGTGGGACCCGCGGTGGAGTTGGGAGTGGTGGTAATGCAGGTGCGTACGGTGCCCCTGAGATGCAGGTGACTTCTTCCTTTCTCCACGACCCGACTTGCGGCTGATTAAGGTCAGATTCTGGGAACCCTTCAGCTCTGAGGCCACCTGGGCGCGAGAGGTCCACGGGCGGGGTCCAGTGGCGTGGGGTGGGGCCGGGGGCGGCTTCTTGGTAGGGGCTCTCCCGGGAGGGCGGAGAAAATAGGGTGGAAGACCCTTGCCTGCAGCCGGGGAAGCTCGCTGGGCATTTGTCTTCAGCTTTGGGAGCTCCTGGCTTTGCGCTCGTTGCTGAGTGGGTGTGGGTCGGGTCGAGTTCCGCGTGTGTGATTAGAAGGCTGGGATTAGCAGCTCTTTTTCTTCGCCAGTACGCTGCCCTCGCCTCTGCTTGGCCTGGCCACAGAGACGTGTTTGGTTTGGTGGGCGGATTTCCAGCGGCAGATCGACCCGGTGGCTGTCTAGAGCCGCTTCTGAAGGCAAAGTACGCGCGCGGCTCAGCCTCCGGGTCTCTGGCGCTGGGGGAAAGAGACAGAAAATACAACTGGAGAGAGAAAGGGGTGGTTGGCACTCGTGGCTTCGGAGAAGGGTTGTGAACATCATTCCAGCTGCTGTGGCTCCGCCTGACTTTGACCTTGCCCTCTGATGTGCTGTAGGGGTCAAAACACAAACTTCCGAAACGGCAAGTATGTGGTCTTTAGGGCGGGCCGCTCCATTGCTTGTCCTAACCCCGTCCCGCTGTTTGACTTAGTACCGCAAGTTATCTTTTCTCTGGTGGACAGCAGATCTGGGACTTGAATCCGGTTCTCGGTACAGTCCTCCTGGAGGGTTTGGGGTTGGCTGGTTTTGGTTTCTCTTTGTTTTCACGGTTAAACTGGCATTAATCCTAAACCTGCAGCCTCAGCAGCACAGAGATGAGGTGTTTTCTTTCACTTCCCCCATCAGTGGAACTCAACTATACCTCTACCAAATTCCCGAGTTAAATACTGAGTTATGCTCACTTCCCAACTGGTTTGTTTTGGGGCTGGCCATGTATTCTACTCTTGTCTGATGGTAACAGACTGTTAAGATTTTGCAGATTCTTTAAGATAGAAAGATGAAAATTTTGGTGAATTTATCTCACAGATTAACTCATTAAAAAAAAAACCGAAAACCGGATATTCCCTTTAAAAATGTAGAACATTTAAAAATCATTAGTTACCTTAAAGTTATAATAGTTTTCATTATAAACATTTCACACCATTTAGAAATATATAAAATAAAAAAAATTTTTTTAAAAAAAGATTCCCTACCTCGCAGTCCAACTTCCAAACTAATAAATGGAGTTTTGTGAGTATTCTGATTTTGTTTTAATAAAGAGATAATACTGTGTAAACTCAAAGATGTACAAGCCTCATATTTCTCTCAATAATCTATTATAGATAATCTTCTATAAACAGTGCATTTGATTGTTCATATTTTAAGGACTGTACACATCATATTCCCTAATATGGATGTGCCATCCTCCAACCATTCCTCTACTATATGGCCTTAGCTTTTCCATAATGTTGTTATAAACAACTCTATATACAATAAACATATATCCTTGACTACTGATTGTGTTACTTGAGAAATCACAGAGTCCAAGTTTATGCACTTTTAAAATTTTGATAGATGACAAATTTTCCTGGGTGTTTAGCTCATATTCCCACCAGCAATGAGGAACTCATTAATCTAGGACCAATGTTTAAATGATTATTGAATTAAATAATTGATAGGTTCCAGTTTGTTTTCAACAACAGTATTGTGGTAGTGAATTCACACTATTTGTAACATTAAAAAAAAAAAATTCCTCTCCCTGGCTTAGAGCTGCCCAGTATTCTCATTGATGGGTAACTGTCAATGGGAGAGTTTTATTGGTTATCATTCTTAGAAAGTTGACATTAAACATTTTCCTTAATGATCTATGTATCATTTTGTGACTTTATCCAGATTCCTTTAAACCCAGCAAAGTATGATACAAAATTTAGGTGGAAATAACTACATTAAAAGTCTATCCATACTTTAAGGTGTCAATATGCATTGTTTAATTTATTGGGACAGAGGGAACTGGAGAGTCTTCTTTGAGAAATCCTTGCAGTTCTACAAATTCTGTGCTAGAATGAGTCACTGGGTGGTGTGCAAGCAGGTGCAATACGTTCACTGGGATCTCTGCGTGGTCACACTTCCTACAGCTCCATCCCTCCCCAGGACGATGCTGAGTAGCTGGATGTCAGATCAGCTGCTTTCCATACACATGAACAGTAGCTAGGAATTTTTATTGTCCCCTAAATTCGAAACAGATAATAAACAGATTCAACATCTCTCACACTTGGACAAGTGTTCCTGGGTTTTGTTCAATTGTTTTTAGCTAAAGTTTGTAAAATAATGTATCTGTAGTTTATTAATTGATAATACCTTTAGAAGGATTTTATGAATGAGGTGATTGCTTCTGATAACGTAAACCTGTTCATGCATATTGTAATATTTTGACAAAGTCACTTTTTTTTTTCCTCCAGATGCAGGAACAATAGGTGATGATCATTATAATATTTAGACTTACAATGTTTGTCCTCTGGAGACCTTATTATCCCTTTTGTTATGTCTCTAGAAGACTTGGAGGATGTCACAGGTGGTTTCAACTCCTCATTCTTGTTATTCCCATTTGAATAAATGACACAAAGTCTAAGCTAGAAACCCAGGAAGCATCCTTGTTTTCTATCCTGCCCTCAGGTCCTGAATTTGATCAGTTACCCAGTCCTGTCTTTCTGTGACTGAAATATTCCTTCATTCACAAAGCCACTGTTTTAATTCTCTTTCTAACCCTCACCATCACTGCTAAATTACCTGCCTATGTCCCCCACCCCACAGTCGTACGCATAAGGACCAAAACCTTGCTTTGTTTCAGTTTGCCTGATTCTGTTCTTGGCACATTGACAATGTTTAATAAATGTTTTATCAGAAAGGAATTCTAGTTGAGATGACTGAAAAAACCTTGTCAATTCTTCGACTCCTGACTCTTGATTTTATTTCCTTTAAAAAAAAAAAAAGATTTATTTGTTTACTTGAAAGGCAGCACTAGAAATACAGAGGAGAGATCTTCCATCTGCTGATTCACTCACCAAATAGCCACAAGAGTCCTAGGCTGGACCAGGCAGAAGCCAGGAGCCAGGAGCCTTTCCTGGTCTCCCATGTGAGTGGCAGGGGCCCAACCTCTTGGGCCATCTTTTGCTTCTTTCCTAAGCACAGTAGCTGGGAGCTTGGTGAATTAACCTGCTGTGCCAAAATGCTGGCCCTGATTTTACCTCTGCTAATGTAAATTCTAGAACAAATGTATTCATTTGGCATCTTTCCTGTAACACTACTGAATGAAGGCCAAATTCTCTATTTGGTATTTCCAGCTTCATCCTGAGGTACCCTGTTTCCTTCCCTGTGCCTCTATTACCCACATACCATACCAGACTAGTTATTTGTTGGCAACTTGTCTTCCCCAATGGAATGTGAATTTCTTGAGGGCAAAAATTATCTTATTTTACTTTGTACATTCAGTTGTTTATTAGAGCTACATGTAGAAAACATCCTATAGTAGTTCAGTGCTTAGAATCTGAAACTGATTCAAAGTATTTAGAAGATATTTTAAGCAAAAGAATTGAAATGGGAGGATATTTAAATTTTAATGCTTGTGAAAAATATGCACACAACTTCAGATGGTATTTTACCAGAAGTAATAATAATTAGTGTTTTGGCATAATTTTTGCCTTTTTTTTAAGTGAAGTGTTAATGGTGTTTGTAGGATTAATTTCTTTTAAAGAATACTTCAGATCTAGCCTTTATAACCTTGAACCCATAACTGAGTGATCTACCACAAGGATCTTGAAACATGCCTTCTGTTATCAGGGGGACTGTTATCCAGTTTCCCATTCCTATAACCTAGCATTAAGTCCAGTCTCAAATATTTGACATAGCAGTAGGAAAAAGACTAGAGCCTATTTAAAAAACAAACAAACAAACAAACAAACAAAAAACTGTATTTCAATTTAACATTTATTTGCTTGACATGGGCTTATTGTATTACTGCCACATTTATGAAAATTATGTATACAATACCTACCTTGGAGAGTTATTGTGGTTATTTCATTGAGTTATATATTTCTGAAGGCCCAGCACATTTCTTGTTAGGAAAGTTACCCCTCAGTAAATATTAGTTCCTTTGGTTATAAAGAGACATCTAATTGGAATATAAAACTGCTTGCTCTCTGCTACTTTGTTCATTTAAGAAGCCATCTAAATTGTGGTGTAACCCAGGGGAAGCTTTGGAATGTGTTGACAATAACTGCCTTTGCTGCCAGTTCTCTCCTGGAATTTGGGGGTTGTCAAGAGTGTTTGTTGGTGCTGGGTACTAGTATTGCAACTATGTGCTCTGAAAGCCTTTTGTATTCTGTATCCTTTCTCACCCCTACCCAGCACTGCCTTTTATGCCAGCTCCCCATCCTCCCACAACCACTGACACTCTGAGTCCTTAAGAGGTTCAGGCGGCCTTGCATATTGGGATGACCTTGCAAGGTGTAGGTTAGAGGATGCCATAGAAGAAAAAGGATTGTTGAAACCTAGCCTTTTAAGTCTTGTTTTATGTAAAACACACACACACACACACACACACACAGGACTCAGCTTATAGGATATT